ACTATCGGCATTTCTCAAGCTGAAAGAATTGAAGAGAAAGTTCAAGCCTCAAGTTGGAATATTGAAGAATTCTATGGGCAAAATAATGAATAATGCAGGACACATCAAAAGAGCATGGAAAGGATACACAGAATCACTGTACCAAAAAGAATTGGTTGACATTCTCCATTCCATGATTTAGCAAGCGATTAAGAACCGATGGCACTGAAGGAAGAGGTCCAAGCTGCACTGAAGATACTGGCAAAAAACAAGGGTCCGGGATTTGCTGGAATACCAATTGAGATGTTTCAACAAATGGATACAGTGCTGGAAGTGCACACTCATCTATGCCAAGAAATGTGGAAGACAGGTACCTGGGCAACCGACTGGAAGATATTCATATTTGTGCTTATTCCAAAGAAAGGTGATCCAACAGAATGCGAAAAGTATCGAACAATATCATCGTTATCACATGCTAATAAAATTTTGCTGAAGATCATTCAAAAGTGACTCAACAATATATCAACAGGGAACTAGAAATTCAAGCCAGGTTCAGAAGCGGTTGTGGGATGAAGTATATCTATCATTGCTGATGTCAGATGGATCCTGGCTGAAAGCAGAGAATACCGGAAAGATGTTTACCTGTGTTTTATTAACTGTGCAGAGGCATTCATCTGTGTAGATTATAACAAATTATGGATAACATTGTTAAGAATGGGAATTCCAGAACACTTTAGTTGTGCTTATGAGGAACCTGTACATAGATCAAGGGGCAGTCATTTAAATAGAACAAGTTGATACTGCATGGTTTGTAATCAAGAAATGTGTGTGTCAGGGCTATATCCTTTCACCATAGTTATTCAATCTGTATGCTAAACAAATGATCTGATAAACTGGACTATATGAAGAATGGGGCATCAGGATTGGAGGATGACTCACTGCTTGTGGTGTGCAGATGACACAATCTTGGTTGCTGAAAGTGAAGAGGACTTTGAAGCACTTACTGATTAAGGACTATAGTCATCAGTATACATTACACCTCAATATAAAACAAAAATCCTCACAGCTGGACCAATAAGCAACATCATGATAGAGAAAATGTTGAAGTTGTCAAGGATTTCATTTTGCTTGGATCCACAATCAGCACCCATGGAATCAGCAGTCAAGAAAGCAAACGATGCATTGGGCAAATCTGCAAAAGTCCTCTTTAAAGTGTTAAAAAACAAAGATGCCACTTGAAGGACTAAGGTGCACCTGACCCAAGCCACGATATTTTTAGTTGCCTCATATGCGTGTGAAAGTTGGACAATGAATAAGGAAGATCAAAGAAGAATCGACACCTTTGAATTATGGTGTTGGCAAAGAACATTGAATATACCATAGATTGTGTCTTAGGATGGATTCTCTAGAGAATCAAAAACCAGTGAAGCGTACAAATACATAGAGAGAGATTTATTTCAAGGAAACGGCTCACATGATTGTAGAGGCTGGACTGTCCGAGGTCTGTGGATCAGGATAGAGGCTTCTCTTGATTCACCTTGCCATAGGGGCTGACTAACCCAAAATCAGGTTGGAGAGCAGGGCTCTTGCTCACAGGTTGTGAAGATTGACAAATCCCAAGATTGGCAGGCAAGACCACAAGGCTTCTCTGGATTCACGGAGCTACAGGGGCTGGCCAACCCAAGATCAACAGGTTGGAGAGCAGGGCTCCCACTCACAGGCTGTGAAGATTGTTGAATCCCAAGATCGGCAGATAAGCTCATGGCTCAAGTCCCAAGAACTGGAGGTCAGACGAACAGGAGGCAGCTGCAGGATCCAGAGCGAGCAAAAAAGCCAGAACGTCTTTATATTCAGATGCAGACTACATCCCCAAGGAAACTCCTGTTGCAGTTTGGGGCGGCAAAATGAACAAAAGAGACAGACACACACAAAGACAAACAAGACTGCAGCCCCGAGGACTTGCAGAGGTTTATTTTTAAGGGCTCCGCCTTGGCTAAATGCCATCTCATCATAAGTTGTTTTTCTTTCTCAAAGCACATCAAGACTATAGCAAGTATCCGATCTTATCTCTTAAGACTCGAAGGTCAGCAAGTTCTCAGAGACTCGGCGTTCCCTCCCATTTGCAGGAAGGAACGGCATGTTTGTTTGCAAGACATGCCTTCCAGGTCCCGGAGATCTGGCAATAGTCCGGGGAGTGTCCGCGTGCAGATCATTCCCAGGCTGATAATTTCCCACAAACTCCCTTTCAACTGGCTACTCACAGCATATCCCATCATGAGGGTGATCACATATCAGATCTTAACAGGGAAATGATCACAAAATTATATGATTGCCATAACAGAGAATCATCGCCTAGCTAAGTTGACACACAGTCTTCCAGATGGCGAAACTTCATCTCAGATACTTTGGACATGTTATCAAGAGAGACCAGTCTCTGGAGAAGGACATCATGCTTGGTTTAATAGAGGGTCAGCGAAGGAGAGGAAGACCCTCGACAAGATGGATTGACACATTGGCTGCATCCGTGGGCTCAAGCATAACATTGTGAGGATGGGACAGGACTGGGTAGTATTTTGTTCTGTTGTACATGGTGTCACTATTCATGGGAACCAGCTCGATGGCACCTAACAACAGCATAGAGTTTGTAATTACCTTTACTACTGAGTCCACTTTCAGGTAGCAGTGTGCGACATCATAGTACAAGTACCTTTTAACTATTCTCAGTTCCTCCCTCCTGTCCTCACAACATTGCTGTCATTCATGTCACTTATCCATAAACTATAATCACATATTTTTGCCATTATTATTTTGAACAAATTATTAAATTTTAGATAAATTAAGAAAACTAAAGAATTTTAATGTTACTTTCACTTATTCATTGTCTAATGCTCTCTCTCCCTTTCCTTATGTAGATCCAAGTTTCTAATCCATATCGTTTTCCTTCTCTCTGAAGAGCTTCTTCTATAATTTCTTGCAAGGAAGTTCCATTGATGACCAGTTTTCTCCATATTTGTTTGTCTGGAAATGTCCTTACATATTTTTCATTCATTTTAAAAAATCTTTTTAATTGTAATAAAAATATATTTAAGAAATCATTTGCTGATTCAGTGATTTTTACATGTATATTTTAATGGGTGGTGAAAACGGTTAAGCACTCAACTGCTAGCTGAAAGGTTGGTGGCTTAAACCCACCCACAGGCTCCTCAGAAGACAAGCCTGGTAATCTTCCAAAGGATTAGTCTTGAAAACTATGGAGTATTTCTGCTGTGCACACACAGGGTTACCATGAGTTGTAATTGACTTGATAGCAACTTAAGAACAACAGCAATAATGTAGTGACAGTGATTACGTTCATCTGTTGTGCAACTATTACCACTCTTTTCAAAATGTATTCCACTGCCAGTAACAGTGCCATCTGCACAACAAACCCCCTTTTCTCCACGTATTCTTTTATAACTGATTTATTTCACTCAGTATGCTGTTTTCAAAGTTCATCCATAGCATTTATCAAGGCTTCATTTCTCTTTATAGCTAAGCAGTATTCTGTTGTGTGGTAATACTATTTTTTGTTCATTCGTCTGTTGATGGACATTTAGGTTATTTCCATATTTTGGCTGTTGTGAATAGCGCTGCAGTGAATATTGGTGTACAGATTTCTGTTCAATTTTCTGCTTTTGGTTTTTTGCCTACAAGTGGGATTGCTGGGATATGTCATAGTTCTGTAGTCAACTTTTTGAGGAACTGCCAAACTCTTCCACAGCGGCTGTATTCCCACTAGCAATGGATGCATTCCCATTAGCAATGATGATGGTTCCAGTTTCTCCACATCCTTGTCAACATGTGTTGTTTTCCATTTATTTCTCCTTTCCTTTTGAAGGATAATTTTGTTGGGTACGAATTCTAATTTAGTTGGGGTTTTTTCTCTAACACTGTAAACATTTCATTTCACTCTCTCCTTGCTTGCATGGTTTCTTAAAGCAAGTCTGATGTAATTCTTAACCATACTCACTAATAGGTTATTCCTTCCACTTCCAACTTCATTATTTTCTCTTTGATTTTGTGCAGTTTGAATATGATATCACTAGATGAATTTTTTTTGGTATTTATCCTGGTTGGTGTTGCCTGAACTTCAGGTATCTTTGGTTTGGTGTGTGTCATTAATTTTCTAAATTTCTCAGTTATTTTTACTTCAAATATTTCTTCCGTTCATTTCCACTGTCTTTCTGATTCTCAGTTCGCGGATGGCCCATGTTCAGTAATTGTCCCACAGTTCTTGGATATTCTGTTCCATCTTTTTAATTCTCTTTGCATTTCAGTTTTGAGAGTTTCTATTAACATATCTTCAAGCTTACTGATTCTTTCCTTGGCTTTGCCCTGTCATTTGAGGAACTTGAAAAAGACGTTCTTCATCTGTTACAGTGATTTTGATTTCTAGCATTTTTTTTGGTTTCTTTGTTACAGTTTCATCTTTCTGCTTACATTCCCTATGTGTTGTTACATGTTATATAGTTTATTTATTTATTGTGAGAGCCTCTCGTCCTCCCTTGGCTGTGAGGGGCAAAAGGAAACCAGCCACTCTGCAGTGTTTTCCAGTTGTTAATACATCATCCTGACCTCACCCTGTGCTTTGTTTTGTTGAGTGTTCTGGTGGGTCTTATGGAAGGAGGTGAAATGTTCACAAGGAAGTGATGATCTGAATTACTGTAATTTCTGCTCTGTTCTCTAACTATTCTAGACCATAAAGAGAGGTATAAAACTGCAGTTGGTCACAAACTGTGTAAAAATTATTTCTGTGTACTGGATATCTGTAAGACAGGTTGCAGTCAGTGAAGAAGTGAATGTAGTTAGTGAAGCAATGATGATAATTGCTATACCATAGAGTAGATCTTGGTAAAACACGGAACCTTTTTTCAAATCACTGTGAATTTTGAATTTTCCAGTTCTGTAAGCCTCATCCTTCATTCTTGTACACATTGGAGTACATGGTCCCTTGCTGATCCAGAATGTATGGGATGTTTTAGGACTCAGTGGTCATTGAGGATGTGGCTGTGGTCTTCAGCCAGGAAGAGTGGGCCTTGCTGGATCTTGCTCAGAGGAAACTCTACATAGATGTGATGATGGAAAACTTCAGAAACCTGGCCTCAGTAGGTAAGAATGGCATCTTTTTTTATTATTCCTTTAGTGAACAAAAATATTTTACTCGTCAACTTTGCTTCAGTATCTGGGCAGAGGAATGGGAATAAACTGTTAAATACAACAGGTATGGACCTGTGGTCTTTGGAGCTCACGTATTTTGGCTTCCCCATGAACATAAAGCTCTATGTATTAAATTGAATTTTTATTTCTCTTGTGATTAAAAGCCCTGAGGTTGGCTTCAGGGTAACTTCGGGGCACTGAGAGATTTGTATTTTGGTAACTTGTAGAAAATTTTACTATGCTTGTTACAAGTTTGGCATGATTATTTTGCTGCAGATAAACTCACACTTGTCCATCTTCAGAGATCCTAAAGAGTGTAGTATTGGTTTTTGTCAATGAAATGTTCATTGATCTGTGCTGTCTCCACTCATGTTCTGCATTTCTTCATGCGCCTCATGTCAGCTGTACCCATTTATTTTCCCAGGAAGCAAGGACAGTGGAGATGGGAGTCATCCAGGGACAGTGTGTTGGGGAGCACAGGAAAACGAGAATTTTTTGAAGGACCAGCTCTGCAGGGAGGGAATTACATTAGAATCAGTCAGCTAGAAAAAGCCTCTTTTGGGTTGAGGACACAACTTTACAGATACTTGTGCTTAGTTTTCTTATTTTAGCAATCATGTCTTTTCCTTTTTTAATCCTGACTCCTTTTCTTTTTTAATGTCACATATGTATTGTGTCCAAAATCTTTCTACTTAGCTTTCGTAATTATACCTATTTATGTCACCGTCCCTGTCAATCATCACGGCTGTATTTCCTAGTAAATTGTTTTTTAACAAAAAGTGCTGAAACAATGAATTGTGATTACATGTTTCTTTGTTCACAGCAGCCTTTTTATTCCCCCCTAATAATTCCTTTCCTTTTTGTTTCATATTGTGAACCTCAACTTGAATTGGGTCAGTCTCTCAAAATCCTAATGATGTAGAAAAGTTATCCAGTGACCATGTAATGGTACAATTCATGAAGAGTAAAACCTGGTTCTCTATGTTAGGAGAAATCTCTGAATTGCATGGCAGTAAAGATCAGCATAAGAACCAGAGGAGATATTTGAGGTGAGTGTCATTCATAAAAAACAGTGCCTCAGGAGAAAGTCCTAAGGTGTCATCACATGATATATGTTTATATATATGAAATGCATGATGTCTTAGTTATCTAATGCTGCTATAACAGAAATACTATATGTGGGTGACTTTAACAAATAGAAATTTATTTTCTCACAGTTTAGGAGGCTAGAAGTCCGAATTCAGGGTGCTGGTTCTAGGGAAAGGCTTTCCCTGTTGGCACTGGAGGAAGGTCCTAGTCTTCTGAGCTTCTGTTCCTGAGCAATCTTCGTGTGACTTGCATGTGTCTTCCCCACGTCTCTGCTTGCTCACTTGCATGTTCAGTCTCTTTTATATCTTAAGAGATTGACTCAAAATATACTCTAATCCTGCCTCATTAGCATAATTCTAATCCTGACATAACTAATCCTGCCTCATTAACATAACAGACAAACCATTCCCAAAAGGAATTATAACCAGAGGCATAGAGGTTACGATTTACAACACGTTTTTGGGGTCTGTAATTCATAACGCTTCGTAAAATAGAAGGTCAGTGAAAAAGAGGAAGACCTTCGAGGAGATCGATTGACACAGTGGCTGCAACAATGGGCTCATATGTAATAATGATTGTGAGGATGGTGGAGGACCAGGCAGTGTTTCCTTCTGTTTTACATGGGCTCACTATGAGTCAGAACTGACTCTATGGCATCTAACAATAGTATATGTAAACCTAGCTGTAAAATTTTGTGCTTAGGAAATTTTCACAGTATAACATTTTCATAAATATGAGTCAGTTATTATTTGAAATATACTACACTTCAATACTATTATCAGGAAACCACAAATTTTAGAAAAACAGCAGCAGTAATTGTAGTATTTCTGTTAAATGATTTAACCAATGAAACATGAGACAATAACTATGCATGTTTTCTGTATTTGGTAATGGTGAAATGGTAACGTTTATTTTCAACATATGTTCCCTATTTTTAGCAGAATCAATACAGTAGAGAACCTCTGTGAAAGTAAAGAAAGCAATGAGAGTGGGGAAACCTTCAGCCAGATTCTAAATCTTACTGTGCTAAAAAGAAACCTTCCAGAAGTAAATCCTTTTGAATGCTGTGAGTGTGGAAAAGCCTTCATGGATCACTTATCACATAAGCATCCTACCAGATCTCACACTGGATGCAGTGCCTGTCAGTGTAAGGAAAGTGGAGAAGCCTGTAGTTGTCCCTCTCACCTAACCACTTCTATGAGAACTCTTAGTGGAAAGAAACCCCATAAATGTAAGGTATGTGGGAAGGACTTCATTTCTATCTCAACGCTTAAGAATTCTGTAACAACACTCACTGGTGAGGAAAACCATGAATGTAACGAATGCGGGAACCATTTCTGTAGTTTCTCATCCTTTTGGACACGTGTGAGAGGTCATAATCAAGAATGTAAAGAATGTTTTAAAACTTGTAGTCTTCCTTCATCCCTCATTTTACATAAAAAATTTCATAACAGATATACGCCTTATAAGTGTAAGGAATGTGGGAAAGCCTTTAGTGAGGCCTCATCCCTCACTCAGTATATAAGAACTCCCAGTGAAGAGAGGCCTTATGAATGTAAGGAATGTGGGAAAGCCTTTAGTCAAGCCTCATCCCTCACTAACCATATAAGAACTCACAGTGCAGTTAGGCCTTATGAATGTAAGCAGTGTGGGAAAATCTTCAGACATTCTGCAAACCTCACTACACACATAAGAACTCATCGTGGAGAGAAGCCTTATGAATGTAAGGAATGTGGGAAAGCCTTTAGTCATTCCTCAAATCTCACTGCACATATAAGAACTCACAGTGGAGAGAGGCCTTATGAATGTAAGCAATGTGGGAAAGCCTTTAGTCATTCCTCAGCCCTTACTAAACATATCAGAACTCATAGTGGAGAGAGGCCTTATGAATGTAATCAATGTGGAAAAGCCTTTAGTCATTCCTCAGCCCTCACTACACATATAAGAACTCACAGTGGAGAGAGGCCTTATGAATGTAAGGAATGTGGGAAAGCCTTTAGTCATTCCTCACCCCTCACTAAACATATAAGAACTCACAGTGGAGAGAAGCCTTATGAATGTAAAGAATGTGGGAAAGCCTTTAATTGTTCCTCAACCCTTACGTCACATCTAAGAACTCACAGTGGAGAAAAGCCTTATAAATGTAAGGAATGTGGGAAAGCCTTTAGTCATGCCTCATCACTCGCTACACATATTAGAACTCACAGTGGGGTTAGGCCTTATGAATGTAAGGAATGTGGGAAAGCCTTTAGTGAGGCTTCAACACTCACTAAACATATAAGAACTCACAGTGGAATTAGGCCTTATGAATGTAAGCAATGTGGGAAAGCCTTTAGTCAGGCTTCATCTCTCACTTCACACGTAAGAAGTCACAGTGGAGAGAAGCCTTATGAATGTAAGGAATGTGGGAAAGCCTTTAATTGTTCTTCACACCTCACTTCACATATAAGAATTCACAGTGGAGAAAAGCCTTATAAATGTAAGAAATGTGGGAAAGCCTTTAGTCGTTCCTCACATCTCACTTCACATATAAGAACTCACAGTGGAGAGAGGCCTTATGAATGTAAGGAATGTGGGAAAGCCTTTTGTGATTCCTCAACCCTCACTACACATGTAAGAATTCACAGTGGAGAGAGACCTTATGAATGTAAAGAATGTGGAAAAGCCTTTAGTCATGCCTCTTCCCTCACTAATCATGTAAGAACTCACAGTGGAGAGAGGCCTTATGAATGTAAGCAATGTGGGAAAGCCTTTAGTCAGTCATCAGCCCTCACTACACATTTAAGGACTCACCGTGGAGAAAAGCTTACGAATGTAAGCATTGTGGGAAAGACTTTTGTGATTCCTCAGCCCTCACTACACGTATAAGAACTCACAATGCAGAGGCCTTATGAGTGTAAGGAATGTTAGAAAGCTTTTAGTTATTTCTCATCAGTCACTAAATTTGTAAGAACTCACAACGTACAGGGGCTATATGAATATAAAGAATGTGGGAAAGCCTTTAGTCATGCCTCATCTCCAGACTACATGTATAAGAACTCACAGTAGAGAGTCTTTATGAATGTCAGAAATGTGGGAAAGCCTTTAGTGGGGTCTCATTCCTTCATGTGATGGTTAAGGTTGTGTGTCAGTTTGGCTGGGCCATGGTTCTGAGTGGTTTGTCAGTTGTGATGTAGTTTGGCAGTTATGTAGTGATGTAATCAGCTCCGTGATGAGATCTGATATGATGTAATCTCCCACGGTGAGATCTGCCGTGAGCAGCCAATGAGTTGAAAGGGAATTTCCTTGGGGTTATAGCCTATATCCAATTTATATGGACTTTCTGGAAAAGTTTGCTGGCTTTTGCTCTGCTCTGGATTCTGCATTCAGTTAGTCATCATCTGACCTCCAGTTCTTCAGACTTGAGTCTGTAGCCTGCTGTTTTATCTGCTGATCTTGGATTTGACAGCCTCTGCAGCCTGTAAGCTAGCAGCCTGTCTAACCTGCCAATCTTGGATTCGTCAGCCCTTGCAGCTATGCGAGTCAGGAGAAGCCTTCAGCTTGATGTCTGACCCACGGACTTGGCATCTGCCAGCTTCTAAAACTGAGTTTTGGTTTTTGGTTTAAAATCGTTTGAGCCATTTCTTTAATAGAAACATCTCTCCCTTTCCCTCGCCTCCCCATTCCTTCCTCACTTCTCCCCATCCCCCTCCTTTTGTATATATGCTTCACTGGTGTTGCTTCTCTAGAGAACCTAATTTAAGACACTCAACATATAAGAACTCACAGTGCAGTTAGGCTTTATAAATGTAATAAATGTGGGAAAGCCTTTAGTGAGGCCTTATCCCTCAGTTCACACATAAGAAGTAACAGTGGAGAGAAGCCTTATGAATGTAAGGAATGTGAGAAAGCCTTTAGTCATTTCTCATTCTCACTTCTCTTATAAAAACTTACAGTAGAGAGAGGCCTTATGAATGTAGCCATTCCTCACGTTTCACTACACATAGACGAACTCACAGTGCAGAGATTATTCTATGTCAAAAGTGGAATGTTTCATTCTTACTGCTATAATTTCAAACATCAAATTTCCCAAAGTCTGGAATTAAATAACAGAGTTTCTTAGTGAGAGAGCAATATTAACACAAAGAAAGAGTCATTAGAGTTACTGTGTGCGTTTGGGAGAAGTGACAGTTTCATTGTAACTACTGGGCTGTCACATCAGTGTTTGTTACATTCTCACGCCAAGCTAAATTTTACCTTTCTTAAAGTCTTTGGCTATTACAAAAGGCTGCAAGGAATAACCTTGAGTAAATGTGATAATATATTTTTTAATGTTTTATTGATGTTATTTTGCATACAATAAAATGCACTAACCTTGTATTTGGTTTAAGAGTGTTTTATTTCCATAAGTATTACATTTTTCTCCATTCTTTTTTGTTGTAAAGTTTAACTATTTTACCCTTGATTATTAGTTTCTCATAGGGAGATAATTTGAGACTGGTCAAGGGTCTTTCTCTTTTTTGCTGACCCTCAACCATACCAAGCATGGTGTTCTCCAGGGACTGGTCTTTCCCGATATGTACAAAGTGAGATGAACTCTCACCATCCTTCCAAGGAGCACTCTGGCTGTACATTTTCCAAGACAGACTTGTTCTTCTGACAGTCCATGATATATTCAGTATGCTTTGCCAGCACCACAATTCAGAGGCATCAATTTTTCTTCGGTGTTACTTATTCATTGTCCAGCTTTTGATAAATAGATGGGTGGATGGATGGATGATATATGACTTCCAGTTGATTCCAACTCATAGTGACCCTATAGGACATAGTAGAACTCCATATGATTTACAAGTCTGTAATCATCTATGGAAGTCCACTGCAATATCTTTCTCCTGTGAAGCAGCTGAAGGGTTTGACCTGGCAACCTTTTGGTTAGCAGTCGAGCTCTGAACCACTACCACTAAACCTTCAGTTAGGTAGACTATATATATATATATACATATGTTGTCGGGTGCCTTCGGTTCCACGCTGTGAAAAACAGAACAAAACACTACCCAGTCCTGCGCCCTCCTCACATTTTTATGCTTGAGCCCATTGTTGCAACCACTGTGTCAATCCATCTTATTGAGGGTCTTCCTCTTTTTCACCGACCCTCTTCTTTACCAAGCATGATGTCCTCCAGGGACTGATCCCTCCTGATAACATATCCAAAGTATCTGAGACATAGTCTCGGCATCCTTGCTTCTGAGGAGCTTTCTGGTTGTACTTCTAAGACAGATTTGTTCATTCCTTTGGCAGTTCACAGTATATTCAATATTCTCCAATATCACAATTCAAAGGTGTCAATCTATGTATATAAATTTGTAAGACGTGAAGAAATCTACCTACTTTATATAATTGGGGAGACAAAACGTATTTCAAAGAGAACAGTCAAAATTGAAGGCAATTAAATCTAAATCTTTAAAGCGCAGCTTTTTCCTTTTAAAACAATGGCACTGTTTCTAAGACTTATGTGGAGATTAATACAAGGAGAAATAGTTTTGATACAAGAGTGTATCTAATAAAAACCTATGGCGGTGCTGTGGCTCCTGGGACAAGGCCCTGCCCAGCTGCAAGGCATTGGGCCACTTCTCAGATGGAAGTATTTTGGGGGGCTAAAAGTTTCCTTGGATGCTAAATTATCCTAGATCTTATTCCTGGTGCTGTCCCACCACTGCTCAGACCTACACTGTTACATCTACCCTGTGTCCTCCCGGGGTGCACACTCCTTCCTTCCCTTTGCCCATGAAATCTCTCAGGCCAGTCTGCACCACTTTACTCTGGCTGTATTTTCTAGGGGTTCCTGGAACTCAAATCTGTGCTGCACTCCTTTGCTATGCTCTCTCAGGTCTGCCTAGTCCCAGCAAATGCTTTGCCCACCTTGTCGCTCCTTCCAGGCCTCTGTTTTGTCTCAGTCTAAGTCCTCTGTTTTGCTCCCTCCCTGGGATTTTTGATAATTAGGAATAAGGCTGGTGCCACCTGTGGTTATCTCAAAATGACCACATTGAGCAGGGAAGCAAGTAGGGTGTGGATAGACCACAAATATCCACCTTCCTGCAGTCTCCATTTCAACTCTCCTCTAATTTGCTACTCAGCCCAGTTCTCCAATCCTTCACTTGGTGTGCAGAGTTCTGACATAGCTGGTTGCACATTTACGTATTTTCTTTGTCATTGTCATGGGGTATCATAAAGGTGCTACTATCTGCTGCCATCTTGCCACTCCTGTTTTGAAACCTGCAGACACATTCTAGTAGAAATGGAAGGTGACGGGGAGAAGAGCTCATTTCTGACAGTGTTTTATGCTACACATTCCTTCAGATTACTCATTCAGTGCTTGTATCTGGGGTGGACATTCACATATTTGAGCTGACATGACAGTTTTTTGGCCACATTCACAAGTAGGGTATTCATTCCTAATAACAAAGTCCCCCATGTGTCAGTTTGTCGTACCGTGGGGGCTTGTGTGTTACTGTGATCCTGGAAGCTATGCCACCAGTATTCAAATACGAGCAAGGTCACCCATGGCAGACAGGTTTCAGTTAAACTTCCACACTAAGACTAGGAAGAAGGACCCAGAAGTCTACTACTGAAAATAAGCCAGTGAAAACCTTATGAATAGCAGTGGAACATTGATGTAGTGCCGGATGGGCCCCTCAGGTTGCAAGGCACTCAAAATACGACTGGGGAAGAGCTGCCTTCTCAAAGTAGAGTCAACCCTGATGTGGATGGAGTCAAGCTTTTGAGACCTTCATTTGCTGTTGTGCAATGACTCCAAATGAGAAGAAACAGCTTTAAGCATCCATTAATAATTGGGACATGGAATGTATGAAGTACGAATCTAGGAAAATTGAAAATCATCAGAAATGAAATGGAACACATAAATATCAATATCCTAAACATTAGCTGAAATGAACTTGTATTGGCCATTTGGAATCAAATGGTCATATAGTCTACTATGCCAGGAATGACAATCTGAAGATGAATGCCATTGCATTCATTGTCAAAAAGAACATTTCAAGATCTATCCTGAAGTACAACGTTTTCAGTGATAGGATAACATGCATACAACTACAAGGAAGACCAACTAATACGACTATTATTCAAATTTATGCACCAACCATTTAGGCCAAAGATGAAGAAATTGAAGATTTTTACCAACTTCAGCAGTCTGAAATTGATCGAACATACAATCACAATGCATTGATAATTACTGGTGATTAGAATTCAAAAATTGGAAAGAAGGATTGGACGATGGAAAATATGGCCTTGGTGATAGAAACGATGCAGGAGATTGCATGATACAATTTTGCAAGACCAACAACTTCATTGCAAATACCTTTTTTCAACAACATAAACAGCGACTATACACATGGACCTTGCCAGATGGAATACAAAGGAATCAAGTCAAATGCATCTGTGGAAATAGATGATGCGAAAGCTCAATATTATCAGTCAGAAAAAGGCCAGGGGCCGACTGTGGAACAGACCATCAATTGCTCATATGCAAGTACAAGTTGAAACTGAAGAAAATTAGAACAAGTCCACGAGAGCCAAAGTACAACCTTCAGTATATCCCGCCTGAATTTAGGGAGCATCTCAAGAATAGATTTGATGTGTTGAACACGAATGATTGAAGACCCAACGAATTGTGGAATGACATCAAGGACATCATACATGAATAAAGCAAACAGACAGGAAAGAAAGAAAAGACCAAAATGGATGTCAGAAGAGACTCTGAAACTTGCTCGTGAACATCGAGTAGCTAAAACAAAAGGAAGAAATGATGAAGTAAAAGAGCTGAACAGAAGATTTCAAAGGGTGGCTCCAGAAGACAAAGTATTATAATGACATGTGCAAAGACCTGGAGATAGAAAGCCAAAAGAGAAGACCATGCTTGGGCATTTGTCAAGCTGAAAGAACTGAAGAAAAAAATCAAGCCTCGAGTTACAATATTGAAGGAGTCTACGGAGAAAGTATTAAATGACATGGAAAGCATCAAGAGAAGATGAAATGAATACACAGAGTCACTATACCAAAAAGAATAGCTCAACATTCAACCATTTCAGGAGGTAGCA